TAAATAACAAAAAAGTAAAACATATTGTACATTTCAAAGCATACTTCAAACCTAAATGTGCCTGACTTAAAGTCAAACATCACCCTGGAAATGTTATTTTTCCAATGGTGAACTTGAAGTATTATGACTGAAAAATTTCATACCAGCCTACAAAGAATAAACTTTGTTTATCTTTTCTATGCTTTTCACAGTTGCTGCTAGCTTAGATGAGCTTTATTGATCTCACAGCGGAGAAATTCACTAATTTATTGCCATCAAATAATTAGTTGTCACTACAGTCACACCTGAATATTGATTATCCTGATTGCTGTAATAATTCTTTTTTTTATTATAAATAATTACTAGAGAAATATACTTTGAAAATTATAAATAATGAAGCAATATTTTATATTCAAATTAAAAATTATCCAAAATAAATTATTGAATGCATAATGGATGACAAGCATACTGTATAATGACAATATTTGAAATGTTAGATTATCAATTAAAAATCTCAATCTCAATTTACCAGCAGATGTGGTTGTTTCAACAGGTTGTGCTTCTTTAATACGTTTAAGCACCAGTAAATGATAATAAAATTATTATTCCAACATATTCGATCTTCTCATCTCCGATAATGTGATGACACAACAAAACAAAATAAAACGGCAGGAAATAAACACTGAATACAAGAACCAGTACATTTGTAGCATAAATTCTATCACATAAGAAAAGGTAAGTTTGATTAACTTATTAACTTAGGTTCTTGCCAAATTAGACACATAATGAGTCACACCATTAGATGGAAATAATAGTTCAACTTATGCTCTTGTGAAACATTCTCATAATTAAAACATGATTATACAAGTTTGTAAGATCTGGTTAACCTCATGGTTTTATTTCTCACAGATCCATAGCTGTTGAGAAAAACAACCATCATCGTTCCATTTCCCCCCTGAATCTGTCTGCACCATCTCTCCACAGTCCTGTCCTCTGTAGTTGTTGGGCTGCCCAGGCAGCCAGTACCTGATAGAGGCAATAAAAACAGGAAAATTCTATTAATCCAACCTGAAAAAAAGGGAAATAAAACATTGTCCCTTTCCTTTATTGTGATGGATGCACTTCTTTTTTTTCGTTGATTCCGTCTGTAATCACTGATCCCATTCAAACCTTCGCCTAATGTCATGACTTTGCAAACCACTTTCAGACAAGATAGAAGGTTATAGGGTTAACAAGAATTATATATCCTCAAAACTTATAATCAGTTTTTGAAGCTGCATTATTGTTTTGAATATTAAGCATAGATCATAATTACTAACCGAGGCAGTGGTTGTCTAAATAATACAGTTGGTTTATTTAAAGAGTTTTCTATTATCAGTTTTCTAATGATACTGCCACCTATGGTCAAAACAGATATTTATATTAGAACATATGCTGATGAAGGTTTTCAGTCATCCAGGTCATAGTCATTCCGTAAAAATTCAAAAAATATCCCTGGACTTGGTTTCCAAGATTTGAAGAGGTTTCGCCACCTCTCCAGGAAGCTTTCTCAATTCAAATGTCTGGATCTGCTGTGAGTTTGAGTCTTATATAGGCAAAGCCTTGTATCGCTTGGAAACATGCAAATGGTAACCAATGAATGGGTCGTTTGGTTCCATCGTTAGTAACCTGTAATATCTGAACCTGTCTATGATTCTAGGGGTCGGTCGTTAAAGGGGGAGGATTGCCATTAAGGTGGGGATTGTCTCCTGTAATACCTGAAACCTGTCTATGATTGTTAAGAGTCGGTCGTTAAGGAGGTATTGTTCACCGGCTAGAGCGGGTAGGTCCCTTGTTCCTCTGTGATGGGGTGGGGGGTTTGGTGATATCTGGAAGGGATCATGTCTATGATTGAATTGTATGTTTTTGGAAGCTGGAATCTGAGTCCACCACCTCTGTTTCAAGTTGTTTTTTCTCTCTTAACAGAGATGGCTTCCTTCACGCCACTCTCAAACCACCTATTTTCTTTATTTAGAATGTGAATATTTTGAGGACCAGAATGTTCACATTGCATGTTTCCAAGCGATACAAGGCTTTGCCTATATAAGACTCAAACTCACTGCGGATCCAAACATTTGTATTGAGAAAGCTTCCTGGAGAGGTGGCGAAACGTCTTCAAATCTTGGAAACCAGGTCCAGTGGATATTTTTTGATTTTTTACGGAATTATATTAGAACAGAAATCTTCAGAGAACATTAAGAAATTTGCACCAAGGAGTTTGACTGATGAATTGCTCTTAAATATATTTATCTGATAGGCAACTGTGCGTATTTGTAGCATGCATTCTAAAGATTTGTAGGCTATTATATTGAAAGAATAGTGAGCATTTAAATTATAATCTAAAGGCTGCTTTGATTTACACTTCATTTGCTGGAACAAAACTATATCCACACTGGATAGAATCGTCGTTATTCTAAGGACGTTTCACACATCACCAGCCAACATCAACTCTGATTGATGTTGGCTGCCTCTGGAATAGTCTCTCTCCTTTTTAATTCTATTTTAAATTATATTTATTTTTGTGAAAATGCTTTAAAAACTTTATTTTTTTTACCTTAATACCTTTAGCTAGTTATTGCTTCTCAATATGGAAAAAAAATATAAAGTTCTATAGCATCTAGTTTGCTTTTTTTAGTGATCTGATTACAATATGGCATCTAGGTAATCATATAGCAACTCACCTGTCCAACTCACACACCAAAATAGTGCAAATTATTACTCAGTGCCTTCAGATATATAGAACTTTTAATTGTTTATTTTATTCATCAATAAAATACAGACATGTTATATTTCATAGCTGACATAGAGTTGATTTTTAAGTTCCAGTAGGACAGCTTTCCATACACTTAAGATAATTTAAAAGTAACAGCATAGTGACTTTGACTAGTAATGAGTTACTTTGATTTTGCTGTCACTGAGTACTCACAATCCTGGGCTGCGTTACAATCATTGTCACATGACTAAACAAATACCACATAACAGATTCCCTCCTGAAACAAAAACAGCATAACAATATAAATAGATGTTGGTTTTTAATACTGGCCCAGTTTTACTTATCAGTCCGATACCAATAAACATTTAAAAACCAACATTTCCTGATAACGGTTTTTGTCAATGTTTGTAATTGGCCAATACTAAGATTCTACTTACGATTTTGTGACAGGGGTCTTATCCACCCACATCCAAACTCCCTCTGTGAGACTGTCGGTGAGACCAATCCAGGCATTTTGATCTTTATGCAGCATCCCATGAACAAAGCTCTGGTTAGCACGGAAAAAGAGGAATAACTGTTTAGGACTTCTCAGAGCACTTTTTTTTTTTTTTTCATTATTTGACTATTAATTATATCCTAAAGTTCCATTAATTACTTTATAGGGTTGTAATGATGACAATTGATGCATTTTTTACAGCCAGAATGTATTTTTTGGTCTAATTTTTATAATAATGAAAATAAACAACATAAAACTTTTTTAGCGTATTAGCATCAGGACCACCTTGGACTTAAAACTGTATGACTGTGTGCAATGAAAAAAAAAAAATAATCCAACCCTTTTTGGCATCGACTTAATCATATTTGGGAGTGGTGGTCTAGTGGTTGGGGCTCTGTGCTTGTTATCTACAGGTTCTAAGTTCAAGCCCCACTCTGGGTCCCTCAGCAGACCATTAACCCCCACACTGCTCTGCACAGTGGGAGCCCACTGCTTCCTAAGGGGATGGGTTAAATTCAGAGAATTAATTTCATTGCTCTGTACTTATGACAGTGTAATGACTATAAAAGTAAAAAAAAAATGTAGTTACTTTAACACAATTGTTTCATGTTAACAGGGTAGGACTAAATATAATTCAATAGATGCCAAAAATGGTGCATTATTTTTTTCAGTGTATATTTTTTGTTCAAACTCAAGCCTGATTTTAATAATTACATATTTTGCAAAACTAATTTTGAGGAAACTTAAGCTGTAAAACAAAGGTTACTAAATAATATAGGTACAATGTATCTGCAGAAGGTCTAATTTGTTTCTATTCTCACCTGTTCTTCATGATTGTTTATGATAACCAGATCCGCCCCCTCGGAAATGCAGGCTCTTCGGCTTTCTGTCCAGTTCTTTTTCACCGTTGAAACAAAATAGCATTTTGTTTTAAAATACCTCCAATGCGTTGGACAGAGCAACTCTAGAAATAGAAAAAAATCCTTCACCTTATGCCAGCCAACAGAATTAGCAAAGACACACAGGCAGGTGTTCAGACACTTTCTTTAACCATTTAAAAGGT